GGGGGGGCAATGTATATAGAGAGCCGGTATCCAGCAGCCAGCGGGCCCCCAGTCTCTGCGCCGGGAGTGTCATCCGACACTCCCGGCACAGAGATGGGGGGCCCGCCAGCCGCCGGATACTGATCTTAACATCTGACAATCCAAAATGGGGGGGGCGCCCCGCGACGCACACTGAAATGGGGGCCCGAATGAGATAGTATGCGGCCCGCCGGCCGCTGTGAGGAGGGAGCCGCAGAACAAGGAGGCACTGAAGACAGCCCTGCAGGCACATCATGGGGCCTCGGATGGCAGTGACGACCCAGCAAACAGAAAACACATAGGAAACAGATGAAGACAGAAGACCAGACAGAAGAGGTAAGGGAGGGGGGTAAATAATTCATTAAAATTATTATTATTTGTAGCCTAATGTTGTATAAAGTACTGTTGCAGCAATGCACAATGGCACCCTCTATAGAGGACTACAAATCTCAGCAGTACTTTATACAGAAATGCTATTGTTATATAAAGTATTGTTGGGATGTGTAGTCCTCTATAGCCTGTGCCATTCTGCATTGCTGTAAATATTAGGGTTGCACCAATATACTGTATATCGGCCGCCAAAAGATATCGGCCGGAAATTGCACTTTTGGCTGAATGCTGAAAAGTGCCATTTTTCTGCTGATACATTGGCGCATCCGTGTTTTCTTTCCTCCCCGCTGGGCGCTGCTCTGTGTCCCAGCGGGGAGGAGAGAAAGTGACAGCCGGCCGAGCGCTGCGGGAGGAGAGCGCTGTGTTTGTGGGGTTTTTTTTGAGGGGGGGCCCAAAAAAAAAAATCTTGCCCCAAGGCCCTTTGTTCCTTAGGTCCGCCACTGGTAATAGACAACCAAAAACAAGGAAATATGAGAAGTTGATTGTTATGGTTTACATATACTTTATGCTAAAAAGCTGAACTCTGGGATAAACAAATATTGTGTAAATATAGGCGTGTGTATTCTTACTGGAATCCTGGAGAGCTTTGGGTCATTCTTCCTGATCTTTGCAGTAATCCAGTGTGAAACTTTCCCTCTGTGCAGGAACTTCCTTTAATAAAGACCAGTCACTGCCATTCTCTCTACTTGTGCAGGGTGACTGGTCTTGTATCCGCCCCCTCCTGTAGTTTTCAGCAGGCAGCCCATAGTGGGTGGGGCTGCAGGGTCCCTCCCACAGCTTTGATCTCTGCACAGTCTATGTACAGCACAGGGACAGAGAGTGTAACTAGAAATCACAGGGCCCCATAGCAAAATTTGGAATGGGGCCCTGTGATTTCTAGTTACGTCCCTTGCAGAGCCCACCTGAGATCCCAAACAGCTCACCTGAGAGTGACCCTGCAGAGCCCACCATAGACTCTCTATGGTGGGCTCTGCAGGGTCTCAGGTGGGCTGGTCACATCCCTGCACACCTCTTACCTGTCAGCCCCGATCCGCTGTCCGCCTCCTGCACAGGGCCCCGCCTCCTCTTCCATCGCCGGGCCCCTCCTCCTCTGACATCACTGGCCCCACCTCCTCTTCGGTCGCCGGGCCCCACCTCCTCCTCTGCCGCCGACCCCGGGCCCAGCATCCTCCTACGCAGCTGCTGGATGTCACTGACACAGCAGCGGCTGTGAGGAGGAACGCGCCCCTGCAAAGATCACTAACAGGTTGTCAGAGATCCAACAGCGACACATTCCTCCTCACAGCCGCCAGTGACAGCCAGTAGCCTGAAATGCCATAGCGACACAGGCGGCCCGCACGGCATCAGGGGGATGTCCTGGACCGGGGCCCCTTGTGCCCCATAGGTCGCTATGGCGATTGTTACGCCACTGCAGAGGGATGATATCACTATTTTTACAAGGTAATAACTGGGCTTGTAAAGGCATTTGGTGCACACACAGTGTATTTCAATCCTTTATGGCTATTAAGGAATACAATGAAATGAAAGTTTTTGTTGCTGGATTTCAGTTTTAATTTGCTTGTGAAAGTAATTTATCAGAGATCAGAATGAAACCTGGAAAGAAAATCATCTCAATACTTACCACAACCCAATGGAAAGCAACTAGTGGACCTGATGGCCCATATTGCTTGTCAATGCAACTGCTAAGTAGCAAAATGTTCCTGGAAGTTATTTTAAAATACTGATAGCTGTGTTCAGAAATCCTCTGCTGTGACTGTGCATTGAATATATAATAATATGATAGACATTAATATGGCATTACATTGTAAAATGGCAGCTGCGTGCACCTTACCTGCAGAGACCAGGCTGTTTACATGTGCACTGACAGCAACAGCACACGCAAGCTCAGCTCTCCTCCTCCCTCCAGCCCCAGGAGACTTCCCAGCATGCTCTCCTTTCCTTCTGTTAAAAGGGAAATTTCTTAAAAGGGCGATATGACAGAAAGCAAGTCAGGCCACAACACACCAGTTAATGACGGTGATATTTTTTAAGCAGCTCAGGAGAAATTGTCTTTGCATGCTTCCCAGATTTATCATATAGGAAAGAGTGAAACTTTTAAATGCCAAAATCCTTAAAAAGTGACACTACACTCAGGAGTTAAACCTTAAAAATACATTCAAGTCCCTTCACTATTAAAATTTTTTTTATCTTATTTGTGTATCACTCGGCTGTAGATCCTCAAATCATCTCTGAATTAGTGCCGACACTGTCCTTCCTTCTGGACGGGGCTACTTTTGTTCCCCAAGGTGCCTGTGCGTATTGTAAAGTAGTCACCGCTCCAAGCTCACTCCTGTGATGGGCTACAATCTCAATACAAATTAGTAACTAAACATGAGATTGTAGTCCATCACAGGAGTGAGCTTGGAGCGGTGGCTACTTTACAACACACACAGGGACCTTGGGGAACAAAAGACACCGCTCCAGAAGGAAGGACAGTGTCAGCACCAATTCAGAGATGAGTTGAGGATCTACAGCTGAGTGATACACAAATAAGATACATTGATACCTTGGTTTACGAGCATAATTCGTTCCGGAAGCATGCTTGTAATCCAAAGCGCTTGTATATCAAAGCGAATTTCCCCATAGGAAATAATGGAAACTCAGATGATTCGTTCCACAACCCAAAAATATTCATATAAAAATGATTACAATACTGTACTGTAATATAACACTGTACAAAATATAAAGAAAATAAACAAATTACCGGTACCTTTTGTGGCTGGTGTGAGGGACGACTTTCACTATCACTAACGGAATCACTGCTATCTCTTGACTCAATGGAATATTTTTCATTTCGTGAAACCTTAACAAGGAATCTATTCAATGTGACATTGTGTTGTCGCTAGACAGACTCATCGCTCGCACTGCTACAGCCTTATTCGGGTGGTGCTTTTCTACAAAATTTTGCTCTTCTTGCAAGACATTTGCTTGTATATCAAGGCAAACTTTTTCAGAAATGTTTGCTTGTCTTGCAAAACACTCTTAAACCAAGTTACTTGTAAACCGAGGTATTACTGTACATTTTACTTAACAGTTAGGGCTGCCACCGGTCTGGGATTCACCTGGACAGTGCGGGTTTTGAGTCCTGTATGTGCTGCATCTGTGTTTCAGTCCAGCTGAAACCCAGACAAAAGAAACCACAATGTCAGGCAGACCGGGGCAACAAAGGGGTACTAGTGATCTTGCTTGTATGCAGCCACGCTTTGTGCACATGACTGACTGCAAGGCCAAGTAACCCTCACCTCCCACCTAAATAACACACTGAACACAGTAATTTCAAAAAACGTAATGTAATAACATTTATTGGAAGGTTGAATGGCCACAGCGATGTAAACATTTAAAATAATCGCAGAACATATTATGTATCAAGAACAAAATACTTCGGTCCCTGACGAGTGCCAAAAACCACCACTCACCGCTTACGGGGGGGTGTACCATGACCCATTGTTTTACTGTACCAGCCACAGGCCGCCCATATTCTGGCCCGAGTGGGTACGCCCAAGTTCTTACTGGCTACCAAGCTATAAAGCCCAGTAGCCCCACCATTGGCACTTCCCCTACTACTCCGCCCCTTTTCACTTTGCGGAGAGCCAGTTTTCGTCGTCGATGTATGGCACCGCCAGGGACCCGCCAAATGGACGACTAACCTAGAAGAAAATTAAGTCAGACATATCTCCCAAAAAACGAATTCCACCTTAAACGCAGAAAAGGAATACCCATAACCCTAACTAGAAAAATTTTAACCCTCCTCCCGGAAACTAACCCTTAGTAAACATAAAAAACAACAAGCTGAAATACTATCGGGGAGGGTGGGTGGGACTGATTCCTTTTCTCTCCCACCTAAAATGGTTCCCCACCTCACACTGTACAGTAAGATGGCCCCCTAACTCCACCCCCCTCAAGCTAAACCCACCTATCACTATGCTAGCTGGCCCCTCCCTCCCCCCTTTTCAAACCCAACAGAAAAAACACCCTTTCATCCAATACTCACCTAACTCCTTCTTGTTCAGGTCTGACCTGCATCAGTCATGTCCCTTCCTCCGCAGGGAACTGTACAGGTGTAGACCTCCGCTGTGACTAGGCTCTGATTGTTTGAACACCATTTCCAATCTTTCTCTCCATCTTGCAAATACACTACAATCTACTGCATGTGCAATGCTACATTTTTACACTCAGAGCCAGGATTGTGGGGGTTGCGGGAGGAACCAGTGTGAGTGTTTTTTTCATATCGCCCTTAATGTCCCTCATGCCAAAAAAACATGGAGCTCAGCAAACAATTTGTGACTCTCTCCCCTGGATGTCTCTCCTCGCTCTCTCCCCTGGATGTCTCTCCTCGCACTCTCCCCTGGATGTCTCTCCTCGCACTCTCCCCTGGATGTCTCTCCTCGCACTCTCCCCTGGATGTCTCTCCTCGCTCTCTCCCCTGGATGTCTCTCCTTGCTCTCTCCCCTGGATGTCTCTCCTCTCTCTCTCTCTCAAAACACAGGCAAAAGATAAGCTGTTGTTACAATACAGCATAGGGGCAATAAAAGGGGACAATCACAGGCAACACACGGGCAAATGTGAAATTACACAAGCAACACATGGGCAATTATTACAATACATGGGAAACACACAGGAAATTGTTACAATACACAGGCAACAAATGGGCAATTGAAAATATACATGGGCAACAAACGGGCAATCCTGCTAATACACGAGCAACCAATGGGCAATCATGAGAGAAAGCAGGCAATCGTTACAATACACAGGGAGCAAATGGGCAATCGTGACAATAAGTAGCCAACAAACAGCCAATTGTTAGAATGCACGGGCAACAAACACGCAACCTTAACAAAATACAGACATCAAACAGGCGATTGTTATATGTCCAACAGCAACACAGGCAGAAATAAACATTTCTTTAGTAGAAAAGAGGAAGGCTAGAACCCCTGTCAGAGCGGGTGTATGTCTGTATGAGTTCACAGACAACCTTTTTCACAGGATCTTGCTACCAAATACTCTCACTTCCGGTCTGGTAAAAGGTGTCCACAGGACAGGAAGTGAGGGGAAATCTGCCCACTTAAGCTTTCTTTTACACTGTCTAATCAGAAGGGGATCCGTGCTTGGATCACCTGCTGATCGGAATGGATGTTCCAGCTGTGATATCCATGTCCGTGCAGTCTCTTGGGATGCAGGAAAAAACCGGAACCGTGTTAGTCTATAGGCAGCACCCCTTCCCCTCCCCCTCCCCCCCCATCTGCTACGCTTAGGTCCAGTGGAACAGATCTCTGATCCGTTTTTATTCATGGCCGGAGAGGGTGAGGGTAACTGGATGTAAACGGACGCCTAATGCACACGTTACGTGCGTTATGGCATGCATTAACATGCGCAGCATTTAGGCGGACCATTCATCATAAATGGACTGTCAAGGGACCACAATGGATGAAAAAGGCAGGGGAGAAGAATAAGTCGGCCTGTATGCATCTCAGTTCATACAGACATAAGTGGGTGTATGTTTGTGTGAGTTCAGTTGCAGTATGGTCCGCCATATTGATATGAATGCCCCTTGAATACATACTATTGTTTATATGTTGGCTCAGAGAGCAGCAGCAGCAACGTCCATCATAAATGCAAATGTTAGCACAAAGGTTCACATGCATACAGTA